GCCTGGCCTGTGCGAGGCCACGATTTAAGAGAGACCGAGGCATGAAGGCATGTCAGAGCACACGAAAGTAAAGGACCTGGAAGTCTAGCAACTGCGTGCCCCACTTCACCACACACCACTACCGCCAGTTGGGGCGGCGCCGCCACCCAAGCTGCGGGCCCGCCCGTGGCCGGTTGAGTCCCTGTCGGCCAGGCCAGCTGCGATGGTGCTGAAAGAGGGGCGGAACGAGGGGGTGTTGGCGATTCTGGTGGTCGTGGTTTCTTGGGATTACTAGTTGGTTAGCAAACGCAAACGCAGCCGCGGCCCTGCCTGGTGCCTATAAGAGCTTCCTGTGCTGTGCAACTGGTACACATTTCTACATATGTGATATTTATTTGCAAAACCTGCACTGCAATTGCCCCACCCCCTTCTGCCTTGAGCGCCTCCGACTCCGGATGGTTAGCTGGTAGGCGGCGGCGTTCGCGAACAGGCACCTTTCCGCGACGGCGGCCTAGCATCCACTTGCACTTTACATGGTGAGGTGGCCACCAATTCTGTGCATATGGCATGCGCAAGAAAATCAGTTAGCTGATTGCGAATGGACCCCGGGCAAGCGGCAATAGCTGCCACGCCGAACGCATGCCGGGATGAGCGGGCGTTCCAAGGCTACTGCGACGGCTGCAACATCCTCCTTCTTTGCCGCACGCAGTCAAAAGGATTAGGATTAGGATTGTTACAAGATCCCGCGGTCGCCCACTCGTGGAGCCATCCAGGCTCATGGGATGTAGCGTTGTGGCAGTCGCGTTGTGTGACTGGGACTCAAGTGGCCATCATTCGCCGTTCAAAGCAAGTGTGCACAAAGGCCCCACGTGTTTGCAAGTCTGCGCTACACACACGGGCATGCATGCGGGCATGTGCAGGCAAGTCAAAAGTGAATGGTAATGACGAAGGGGCGTCATTCCATTGAGTGACATGAAAAGGCGCACACACACTGTGGTGTCTAACTAGCGCTTCCGCCGTACGTCTGCGACGGCACGGTCAATTTCAGTCGTCCGGAGGAGGTCCACTTGCCTTGCCCTCTCAGCCTCAAAGACCTGCGTCAAACAATCACAAGCGACGTTGAACGTTGCGAGTAAGTGGGATGCTTGAGTGCCTGTGCGTGCACGCATACGTGTGTGCGTGCGTCCTTGCGTGCGTGCGTGCGTGTGTGTGTGTAAAGGGGGGGTGAGGACTGTTGGGTGGGGGTTGAGTGTTCAGAGCACACAGCACAGCGCAGCACAGCACAGCGCAGCGCAGCGCAGCGCAGCGCAGCACAGCACAGCACAGCACAGCAGGACAAAATTGTAGCAATCAGCACTTCGCATAAAGTTTTGAGGCACTGATACTGGAGAGGCAGGCAAAAAGGGCGCACAGCCTGCAAGCCCCAAGGGCGCTCGCGCCGCCCATTTCGTGCCGACTGACGGTGCCCCGCATCAGTGAGGCAGGCGCGTTGGCAACGACGACGGACAGCCGCCAAGCTCAAACGAAGAGCAGTCGGGGCACGGGACACAAAGCGCCCGCCTGACTGTGCCGCTGCGCTGCTTGACAGGATGCGGGTGTACAACTTGTGGGCATGCGCGTTGGCACATCGGGCGGACAGCCTCTGTGCAGCATAGACGCTGCTTTCTTGAAAACCGATATTGGCTTCAATCATTGTTCATTGATGTGGTTGAGGCCAATGACTCATTGGCTTCTTGAGAGGTGCTTTGCTGTTTGCTCTTTGCTGAATTTTGTTCCATATAATAATTGAGACAACCCCATGAAGCTGGATGGCTCTGCACGCCGGCAATTGCGGGTGTGTAAAAATCCTGTCCAATCCTTTCTTATGCTGGTGCCGTGGCCGTTCAAGTCAGCTGAACAAAGTAAAGGTCACATGCAATGCCAAGAGCGAGCGCTCCAACCCAGTAAAGTGCACAATCGGCACGATGTGGCTTGAAGAGAGCCAAAACTCCCGCATAATCTCCCCTTGCCGTTTCAACAACCTCGTCCCCACATCCCGCAACTCCCGGTCCCCACCTCGTCGATCTGCTCTAGGTACCTCATCTTGGTCTTGACCCGCAATAATTGAGCCCGGAGCACCCGTCGCGCCGCCCGCTCCATCTCGACCTCCTGCTCCTCAGCCATCAGCTTGGCGCGTGCTGCAGCTGCTCCCAGCGCCACCGCTGCTGCCGCGCGCGTCTGTGCTGCCGTCACAGGCTGCACCGGGTCCGGCGGAGTCGGTGGTGCCTGCGGCATAGCTGAGCCATCCCACACGGCCCCACTACTGCCATCACTGCCGGCGGTGACGGGCGGCTCTTGGCCGCGCCGCGTCAGCTCAAGCGCACGGGCAACAGCTGTGGGATCGTCGCTGGCAAGCGCCTCAAGGCCAGCTTGCACCGCCTCCGACGCTATGCGCGGTGCAAGGACCACTGATAGAAGGGTGGCCTGCAGGAGAGCAAGGCGGGGCGGGCCGCGTATGATGAGATGGTGCTTGCAAGGCGCATCACAGAGTGTCCAACAACCTGAGTGCAACAAGAGTAGTCGTGCCATGAAACGGTGCTGAGCAAGCCCCTGAAGCGACACACGCATCATACCTCCAGCCAGATGAGAGCGAAAGCCTGCTGTGCAAGATCAGAATGACATGGACTGCGCCAGACACAACGCGACCGCCGCCTCAGCAATGAGGTGACGCACCACCGTGTGCAGGTCCCCACAAAGCTAACCCGCCAAACATCCCCTAGCCTCCGTTCTGCTCACCACCGACATCAGGGGGTTGCCTGGAGCACTGTCGTTGCCGGCAAATGGCACGCACCTGATGCCCTCCTCCTCCTCACGCTGCCGCAGCAGCTGTTGCTGCTGCTCCACTTCCTGCGGCACCCCTGCACCGTCGCCATCCTGCCCGGGCGCGGCCGTCGCCCGGCGCTCCAGCTCGTCCAGAAAGTCGTCCTCGATGGGCAGCTGCAGGAAGTGCGTGATGCACTCCAAAACGCCGTGCGTGCCCACGTGCTCAGCAACAGCCGGCCATTGGTCGCCATGCATGTCCAAGCCCTCGAGCAGCCTGTGGTGGAAAAAGTGGGGGCAGGACGTTAGAGGAACACGGTGCAAGCGGTGAAGCAATCGTTGAGAGGTGCAGGGGAGAGTATTGGGGGAAAGATGAATACAAGCGACCAAAGCGCATACTGGCGACTGTGTCAGCGGCCGTTGCGACTACTGCGGCTCCCTCTCTCCTGCAACCCCCTTCTCTTTTTCTCTCTTCCAGTGCCCGGTGAGTACAGGCTGCAGCCATGTGTGGTTGGGGACCACTCGCAAAAAGGGTACAAACAGAGCCAGCACACAGAGGGGCGTCTTCCCACCAGCTGCCAGCCCCCTCACTCGGCATACAGCTATTTGCCCCCAACCCTTCACGTGCACCTGTCCTCTCATCCCCACCTCCATCCCCGTCCGCGTCCCCGCCCAGCCCGGCTCACAGCAGGGTCTCCTGAGGCGTCCAGGCAGTGGCGCCTGCTGTTGCATCCGGCGCGTTCCGATCCGCCCCGCCTTCCAGCCGCGCAAAGTCGGCCACGCTGCAGCCAGGCGGAAATCGTCCCTCAGCATACGCTTGGGGGCAGAGGTCGATGCCCGGCACCTTGGTGCAGTGGTAGCGCAGGGGGGTGCAGTCAACCCAGGGCATGGCGCTGCAGAAGTAGCGGCGGCGGCCGGTGGCCAGCGTGGTGGCCGACTCAAGCCTGTGGGGGTTGGGTGTAGAGGCAGTCGCAACGGGGTGTGGAACAAAAGGTTTCTGAGTCACGGGTGGTTGTGGTGGCAGGCATAGGGTACTATTGCTGGCAGAAGTATGGACAAAATTTGGGGGGACATTGGGATGGGGTGGGGTGGGCTGGGTACGATGTCGAGCGCCAGGGGTTGCACGAAGGGTGAGGGAGAGCAGGGGGCTCGGCAAGGGCACGAGGAAGCATCCTTGGCAAGACCTCGGCAGCCCAGAATTCAGGCACCGAGTTTCAGGCACCGCTGCTGCGCACTTGGAGGAGCGTGCCTCGCGCTGTGTCATGTTGAGCGTCCCGCCGCCACATGCCGCCGCCACGCCTTCTGCGACGGTTGGGAACCTCAGCCGCAGCAGCCCGCTCCCGCCGGCGCCCCCGCCGAGCACAGCACCCCACGGCAGCCGCGGGCGCTCTGCGCCAGGCGCGGCTGATGGCGCGAGGTCAGTGCCGGCAGGAAGGGCAGTGGCTGCGGGCGTGGGGATGGCCCTGGGGGCGAGCCAGTTGATGAGGCCCCAAGACTCCAGGAAGCGGTATACCCTACCAGGGACAGGTATATGTGCATGGATTCAAATCAGACGAGCGTGTTGCTGATTGCACTGATTTGGGGATAAGGAGGCCCATGGATGGCTGTCCGCCACACTGCAGGGGGCTCTGCCGCAACCCACCAACCTGCGCCGACGCAGCACTGCATCATGGCGCAGCCCAGTAGTTGCCTGGCACGGAGCGGGCCACAACCTGCGTATCTCCGTTCTGCGTCTCGTGTGGTCCGCCTACAACTCCCTTCAGGACTTGCTATGCTACACAAACCCCACCCTTGATGCCGCAAAGCCTTGCCTCAAGCCCGCCTCCCCCTCCGAGCCCCAACCTGCCAACAATCGCGGGGTCATACTGGGCCATCGCCCGAGAGGCCTCCTCCATCGTCAGCCGCCGTTGCGGCTGCTGGCGGTACAGCTCCACGAGGCCGTTGCGCATCGTCAGGTAGGCCTGGGGGTAGGGGGGCGATAAACAGATGAAGAGGGCCAGCTACGTGCAACTTGAAAAGGGCCAGTCGGACAATTGCGAGAGCGCCAAGCAGCAGAAGGCGTGCGACCTCTTACTTAACCCCGACTTGGCCGCACCCGCTTACTCCTCCGGCCTTTATGGTCAGGGGCGTTACCCCTCATGGGGAGTCAGGATTTTTCCCCTCGCTGCTGGCAAAGCGAGATGAATGTGATGTAATAAATTGCGAAGCAGCGCCGCTCTTGGGCCAAGACCGCCGTGCCTTGACTCGAGCAAGCACAACCTCCCGACCCGTTCAAAGTGGTCATCGCTCCGCACCTTGAGCGTGAGCCCCGACGTGCTGTTGCTGCAGAACTCTGGCAGCACCTTCTTCTCGTTGTTGTGCACTTGTACAAAAGAAAACCACGCCGCGTGCATGGGCATCAGAAGGCGCCTGCTGAGAACCTTCTCCGCGGTCCCCTCGGCCGCTTCCGCCGATGCTGCATCACCTTGACCCTGCTGCTGCTCTTGCTGCTGCTGCTGCTGCTGCTGCTGCTGCTGCTGCTGCTGCCGCCGGTCTGGGGGGAGGCGCTCCAACATAGGGGTGGGCGCAGTGGGGTCCAGCTGTCCCTGCCGGTTGGAGGCGTGGCGAGGATGGAAGGCAGAGGCAAACAATGCCTGTAAGCTGAGGCTGCGGCGGCGAGGCGAAAAGCTATGGAGCAGCCAGCTGGAACACAATATGAGCGCAGGCACCCGTCGGCACTCTTTGATTCCCGCAGACCATAACTTGCGCATCCAGTATTTCATGAAACCGCCCCCCTCCCAACTAGACCTGTGTTTACCTGTGATATGTTCTCAGCGCTGGCCGTGCCGTCCAGCACAGGCTTGTGAGGATTGATCACACGCCGCTTCACCGCACCAGGCGCCACCTCGACCCCTGGGTCTGACGCGTCCACCTCGGCGTCGGTGCGGATGCGCTTGGCGCCCGCCAGGGCCGCCGCCTGCGCCACCGCCAGCTGCGCGGCGCGCTTGTTGCCCTGAGATGTGTGGTGACAGGGCAGACTGGGGCCGCAGCCAGATGAAGGAGTGGGGGTGTGAGCAAGTGTCTTCACACTTTGGAGCTCACAGGGTGCAGGCACGAGGTGCCTGGCAGAACGGAAGCGCCAAGCAGGCGATTGGGATGGAGCGCATTGTCCAGCATGCCCGCCTTGAGCTGCATCTGCTTACCAGTGCTGCTTCTGCAACAGCTGGTCCAGGAACGCCCTGCAGGAAACGAACAGAGGGGTTTGCATGGCCAAGGCGGCAGTGAACACAGGATGTTGCTTCCCCTCGCGTTTGCTTGGTTGTCCATCTGCATGGGACTGGCAATGCAAACAATCTCAATCAAGCGGCTCACCAGGGCCGCCGCCGCCTCTGCTGCTGCAACCTGCTTAGCTTTCTGCTCATCTGCTTCATAGTCCTGGGGGTTCATCCACCTGGGGTGGTGGTGGTCAGCCAGGTTTCACCTGCACTTGCGCACATCGCACACTGGGTGCGCGTGCACGCACACATCCCATGTGCATGCCTGCATATCCTTCAATGCAAAGCGGCAGGGGGGCTGCACAGGTGGGCCTGAAAACACAGTTGCTCGACGGCCCCCCAGCGACCTGCTGTCCTTGAGAGACCTGCGGTTCGCGCCTCATCACAAGGTCTCGCGCCCCCACTCTCAACCCTGATTACTCCCCCTCAGCGCCCTCCTCACTCGTTGAACTTCTCAGAGTCCAGGGCCCACCGCAACGACACCCGCCACGGACCACTCCCCGGCGGCTGGGTGCGCTCGGACGCGCTGGCGTTGGGCGCAGACCGCAGCGGCAGCCACTCGGCGTAGCTGTCGGGCAGGAACCGCCAGTGCACGCGCGCACGCTGGCCGCTGCAATTTGAGTTCATCATCCAGGTTGACGGGTTGCAAGAGAGCACGATCATGAGCGGCACGCGCAGCGTTGGTGAGCGCCGCGTTGGTCCAGCATTGGTGATCACAGACATGGCTCGTGTCAAATTGCAGAGCACTATTCACCAAGCTGCCCATCCAAGCAACCTGTACTCCTTCACAGGGCGTGGATAAATGCAGCCAGTGTTCCCCAACGTGCCAACCTTGTCTGCAGCGTGCGCATCTGGCTGCCAGGGTCGTCCTCTGCTATACACAAGGCTCCGCTGGGGTACAAGAGGTGGGTCACAGACGGGTCGGCTGCGGGGCATTCCCAAATGTCATGGGTAGTAAGGTGGGTGGATGTCCGTGTTGTATGGGTAGGGTGTTGAACGAGCTGAGCGTGCTGCGTGTATGCAGACATGCAGGTGTATGCAGGGGTGCAGCTCCTACGCACAGACTTTGCAAGAAATGCACCTGTTGTTCACAGCCTTTCTATTATCGCCAGGTGCATCGATTGAGTGATGCGAAAACTGAATCGCTGTCCCTTGGGACACAGCTGACGCGCAGCAACAGGACTTAGGTTTCAAATCTTGTTCGTCACTTCCATTCCCTCGCTCGACGCACTCACCCAGGTCCTCCACCACTGTGGCCTGCAGCTTCCTGGCAGCTTCCAAAGCTTTCTGCCCATCCACTCCACAGCTTGGATGTGCCGCCACCACAGGCATCTTCAGCAGCCCCGCCCGCATGAGCTCCGCTCGGATGAGTTCGAGGTTTTCCAGGTTGAAGCGGCGGCTGCCAGGGTTCAGCCACTCAAAGACCTTGAGGGCCGAGGAGCGCTTGATGCCCGCGAGGCGCATCGCCACAATGTAAAGGCCGGCGTTGGCCTGGGGCCGCACGTCCTCCAGCAGCTGGATGGGCAGCTTAGGGAAGTCACGGGGCGGGAGGGACTGCAACATGTGTGGAGTTATCGAGCAGGGGGTTAGAATCCCGCAATAAAAAAGGCATGAGTGGATTGCAGAGTATAAGGTTATGGGGGGTCAGGGGTGGGGCCCATACACGGGGTCATTCTGTTGGATTGTGTCGGCGTAGCAGAGGCATGTGGGCGAAACATGTAGCAGCAGGTGGCCGCAGCAAACAGGCCAGTTGGTGGTGGTGTGGGTGGGCGGTCGACCGGCTGCAGCAACGCATGAATAGTGGCTGCACATGTAAGCAATGCACGGGCGAGCCCATCACTGCCAGCATCCTCCAAACGCACTGCGAGCCAGGGCCTGCCTGGCTGTCTCGGCCCATGAAGGCCGCATGACGACGCCACCTGAAGGCACACTCACATTCGCGCCGAGGGCGTCCTCCTGGAACTGCAACATTTGCCCCAGGGTAAGCCCAAGGCTCTTGACATCGTGCTTGATGTCGGTTATGTCCTCGTTCAGCTTCGAAACCAGGGGCTGGAGCTGCTTGCAGAACGCGTCTGACTGCGGCGGCGTGCCAGGAAAGCAGGAGGCGGGTGGAGGTCAAACACTGCCCTGGGTGAGTGTATTTTGGGCCGTTGAGACCAATTTTGGCTGCTGTGGGGACTACGGGCAAGAAACTTGGCCGCAGGCCCATGCCACCGCCGGCGGCGGAAGCTATCTCCTGGGCCAACACCGGTGGGCCAGATTGCTTCAGCGAATTTCAACTTCCTGTGACTGCCTCAACACCAGTCAGTGACACAAGATTCCAGGGGGGACCCCTTAGAGAGCGAGCTGCTCTTTAAGATCACCGGTAGACGGCCTGCGGCCGCCTTGGGGCCAAACATCTGGCCGCCGCACTCTCCTGTCAGTACCACACTGGAGCCAATCCGGTCCTGCGCTTAAGTACATCCCTGCCCTCGGCAGTAACAATACTGCCTGGAATCATGCCGACACTGCGCACCTGGTAGTCCTTGAGGTTAATCTTTCCGCTCTTTTTTGCAACTGGGGCCGCCATCCTGCTCTCAGCTGCACAGCAGCACCGCTGCAGTAGCTGCCCACAATGGCGCTAGTGCGTGCTGTGCGTGGCGCTTTGCGCTCTGCGGGCGTACGTCGCCTTGCCTGGCAACAGAAGTGGTACTTTGGCTTCGTCTTATGGTTTTGATTGCTTTCAATAATTGCGATATGCGTGCAGAGCGAGCACTGCGGATGTACTGCTGAGATGCATCAAACTTTTGTACCACCACTGACAGTGAGCGGATATGATTTCGAGAAATTGTTTGAGACAACACCGAGGGGTGTGCTGATCTGCAGATCGTGATAAGGACAAAATCGTTACGGGCAGGTATGGTATATTTGATATCAATATTGAGACTTATAGACCGATCGCTGCAAGCAGCCAGCGTCGCCGGAAGGGCGCACCTTATTGATTGATTGGGCGCACCTTCATTGACACGAGGGCGCTGCACAGACGTCAATACCGTAGCACCCCTGGCAGCATCGCCCAGCACGGCTCCCTGCTCTTTCATGCTGTGATGGGCACTCAACACATTCGGGGGCACCACAATTTACACCCACAGATAGGCCAACATTGGGCAGGCCGAGGTAGGCACACCTGTGCCTGAGCCCTTGGTCCCCACGACGCCGCCTAGCATTGGCTGGTGCGGCCCGAGACCGCCACTGCCAACCTTGCTGCCCTCGATGCGACTGCTGCTGACACCGCCGTCCCAGCACACTGCACGCCTCAAACCGCCGCGGTCGGGGTCGCTCTCGGCATCTAGCCACAGCCCTGCGGCCGCCTGGAGCTCGGTCAGCTCGATTCGCGATCGGCGGATGAGGCCGGGCCGGTCGTGAGGTGACGCATAGGGGTCGCAGTGGGGCGCCGTGTCGGCGTCATGGACCCACTTTGATACAGCAGTGTCGCTGCTGAGCCCCGCACGAGCAGCGCGTGCACCGCCCTGCAACGGCCCGCCCGCGCCTGGCCCCAGCACTCTGACAACCGGCCCCTCGGCTGCACTTAGCACCGCCACCCCCGAGTTTCCCTGGCGCGCCGGGCGAGTGTAGTGCAACAAATTTGCTGTAGCATCATACAAGGCGCGGTGCCGGCCGCCGTTTAGGCTGTAACAGGACAACGCGCGCACTGCTGCCAGTGGTCGTCCTGCTGCCGCTGCCACCTGGGCCAGGCGCGCTGCATAGCTCAGCGCTGCCCAAGGGCTTAGGGCCACAAGCGCCGCGGGACGCGCACTCAACAGGGCGTCCGCGTCTGGCGCGGCATCCACCACCCTGCCCAATGCCGCCACCCCTGCGCTGCTGCTGCTGCTGCTGCTGCTGCTGCTGCTGCTGCTGCTGCTGCTGCTGCTGCTGCTGCTGCTGCTGCTGCTGTTGCGGCTGCTGCTGCTGCTGATCATGGTGTTGTCTACGAAGGCGCCACCCGTCTGACCGCTGCCATCAGCGCTGTCTACGGCGCCTGCACTGCCGACAGCGCGCCGACTGGGCGCGTCCCTGCGTGTGACTGACCCCATGCCGACTCCTGCAATCGCGCCGCTCCCGCCGCTGCCTCTGCTGCCGCTGCTGTCGATGGTGGCGTCAAGAGCCGTGGAGGGGTGTTGGGTGTCCTCTTGCAACACGAAATACACCCTGCATGAATGTGAATTGACACGAAAGTAGTCACACAAAGTGGAACAAAGCGAACGAGCCTCAGTGAATTGCCACCCACCTACAGCAAAGCAGTCCAGGCGTGCACGATGATGAACATACAGTGATCAGGACTGAAGCACCCACCACCCTTGCTTGTCAATGAGGTGGCGGTGCCAAGGCGCGATGAGGCCCTCCTCGGTCCAAGCCGGCCTTTGAGGTACAAGGCAACCACACAAATAATGGACAAAGGTAAGAGACATGTGCTTTCACCATGCGAATTGAGTCAGCAGCCATCAGCCACAGATGCGTGACAAGGCAAATGATGTTGCATATGGTAGTGTGCAATTCACAAATGTTGAGTGCAGCAGCGGGCAGCCCACCCACCTGCTTGGGTAAGCAAGAAACCTCAGAGGTGTCACAACGTGGTATATGCACACCAGCACCAGGAGCCATGCCCGCAACGTCAGGGCTGCATCTGGTGGCTTTGAGTCTGCATTACTGCCACTGCGGGCGCCACCATCCGCGCGGCTGGCCCGTCCTGACTGATGCATGATGGCCCCTGGCTGAAATGTCGCCTGCGTCTCCTCAGGCTGCTGTTGCAACTGCGCTGTTGCCAGGCGCCTCTGCCGGCCACTCCCCTCCCAGAACCAGCTGGACCACGCCCAACCTTCGACCGCCCGGACGGTATCCACGCGCGAAGAACGGGCGCCTGACCTGATCTCGACCAGAGCGATGTCCATTGCGTGGGCGCAAAGCGGAACAGGCTCGGCCACCCGCACTGCCGGCTGCTGTGGCTGCTGTTGGGATGCAGCAAGTGCCCTTTCCAGCCCTCGCGCGCAAGACGACCAACCTCGCGGCACAGCGCCCTGCAGCCGCTGCATCCCTGAGCGCAACAGCTCTGGCGGCAACCATAGCAGCCAGCCGCCAAAAAGCAGCAGCCACCAGCCGTCAAGTCCAAGCACCTGCCAGTTGAGAAGCTGGGCGACGGCCATGCAGGGGAAGCCAAGTGCAAAACGCGTCCCTGGACGTGCCAACAGGAGCGGCACCTGCGTTGGGGGTTACGCCTTCACCTTGTCAGTCATTGCCCGGAGGGTATCCGAACTTGTCCGGAGGGTATCCGAAGGCCAGGTTTGCATGCTCCTCAACACACATGGCAGTCAAAGAACGCCCCCTGCCCGTTTCATTGCACCTCACGGTGGCCCACCGCGCAGTCCAGGAGGCAGCTTGTCCATGCCACGACCCAAGGCAGCACGCCCGCACTTGGCACCCCTCCAATTTCCGGTGCAAGACGTTGTGCAAGTGGTTGAGCTCTCACAAGCCATGTCCACCCGTCAGAGAGCTTGGCCAAGCCATCCTGGGACGTTTGGAGGGGTAATGCCTGTGACTTATTATTGCCCATTGGCAGCATCAATGCGGGCACCACGCATTATGATTCCGGTCTAAGCATCTTGCTGCCCCACACCCTTGCGCACCTGCACATACGGCTTGACCAGCAGCATCCTCAGCAGTAGCACAGTCCAAAGCTGCACAGCGTGCGGCTGCGACAGGGCTGGGGAACCTCTGAGAGCAACCAAATCGTTGTCGCTGCTGCGCCTGCGACGCCGCAGGGCTCTGACGCCGCAAACCAGCAGGCTGCTGGCTGACCAGCACCTGATCATGGCGGAAGGTATTGAGTGCTAGTCAGGTTGGGCGCCTGAAGCCGTCTAGAGGACATCTACAGTACGAGGGGTTTCAGACGCCCTGGTTTGGCTCGGCAAGCTGCTGCATCACCCCACCCTCTGGCAACCGCAGCTTTAGCCTTTCGCTCACCCTCCCAACGGTAGCAGGCTGTTACCAAAGCCCATCTGCAGAATCAGGCTCGTAAGCTGACTGCCCGGATCTTGGTCCCATGCTGCCAAGTAGCAGCACACCACCAGCAGCAGCGGTGACGCCATACTGGCCAGCAGGCCGGCCGCCACCATGAGGGCGCAGGTAGTTGCCAGGAAGCACAGGACGCCGGACGCAACAGGCGAAGGCAAGGGCAGCCACCCCCAGCCAGGCGCCGGCACGACAAGGTAAGACTCCTGCAGGTAGTGATGGGCATGGGACATGGCAGACGGAGGTGGACGCGGAGGCACAGGTGCGGTGCATGTCTGCAGTCCTGTGCCATTCATCAAGCGCAGCCACCCTGCCCGCCCGCGCGTCCATCACACCTTGTGCTCCGCCAGCAGCTGGGCCCAGCCTTTGATTCGCACAAGGCACGCCACTGCAAAAACGAGCCTCCACACCGCTAGAAGCTCTGCAGCTGCGACGGGACGGTTGACAACAGCTGCTGCATGGTGCACCACTCTGCCGAATTCCAGAGGAAACCGCTTATGCTGCCATCGCGGTGACTGGAAGGCGTTCATCTCTGTAACAGTGTATCTCGCAACATGCCCACATATGTACTGTATATGATCTCCCGATCTACTTAGAACATAAAGAGTGAATTCTCATTACCGTACTGACGCCCAGGCGTGCACGCAGACGAACAAAAACACAACGCAATGTGATAAATGCAACGCCTTGAGACAACCATCCTTCTGGTGACTTAGACACCGGCTTGGTGACATCCTGGCAGCGTGCCCAAGCCGGCAGCTAGCTAAGCTGGGGTTGATGCCACCAGCAGCAAGAGCTCAGTGTGTCGGTTCCTGGCAACTGCAGCCTCAGACAAAACTGTATCCTGGCCCCCTTTGCCCCATGTTTGATTTCCAAGCATGTGTTGTATCGTAGGATCGCTTTGGTGGGTGCTACATCCTGTTCACTGATAGTATTACTGTGACGGATGTTGACGCTCAACGATTTAGCACCCATCGACACCGCCATCACCCGTCTGCTGTGCACACCACCCCGCGCTGCTCGCCAGCTGCGCCCGTATGCGCCGGCTCGCCAGCCGCCCGTCCCCTCCAAGGCCCAGGTCCGGCAGCGGCTCCTCGCCCGCCTGCTGTGCTGCCACCTCGTCATCGCCGAGTGTGTGGCACGCGTTTATGCTGGCTGCCCCCTGGACTGGACCAGCTCGAACGCCATGCAGATCCGCTTCAGTCACTGCTGCATCAACCGTCACCTGCCGCGTTGCGCTGCGTGCCAGGCCGCGAATACGCTCGGCAGCCACGCCCAGGGACAACCGCTCGCTGCGAGCTGAGGCGATAGCTTGCACGATCTCGCGGGACGCCGCTGCCAGAGCTGTGTCAATCGGCGCCACTTGGCACAGCGGCGTACCACTGGCAGCGCCAGCCTGGTCGTGCACGGTGCTGGTGCTGCTGGCCATACGCGGCCCGACCTTGCCGTTGGATGAAGCCGCATCGGCGTTGGACAGCTGCGTGGCTGCGCATGGCGTCCAGTCACCCTCCTTGGCAGGAGTGGTCTGCTGCTGCTGCTGCTGCTGCTGCTGCTGCTGCTGCTGCTGCTGCTGCTGCTCCTGCTCGTGCTCGTGCGGCTGCTGCTGCTGCTGCTGCTGCTGCTGCTGCTGCTGCTGCTGCTGCTGCTGCTGCTGCTGCTGCTGCTGCTGCTGCTGCTGCTGCTGCTCCCAGCCCTGTTCGTACAGCACAGGCCGCAAGCCCCCTGCGTCCACCATCCCCTCGAAATCGCCTTTGCTTACGCCGACGCACTTGCGTACAAACGTTAGCAGTGGCAGGGCGAAGCGATTGAAGCGGACGAGGCCACAATCTCTCACAAAGCTGGCAACTGCATTGGTCAGTTGAAGCAGCATTGGGCGGTGAAGCAGGACGCCCTCCTCCAGCAGCTCTTTGACCTGTAAACACTCAACGCGCCAGAGTTTGAAAGTTGTGTTTGTGCCTTGAAAGGGCGCAGGGCGGGCAAACACTTAAAGGCGTCGACATGGAACTGGGCCCTTCAAATATCACAGCCAGCGGGGAGAGGGGGGTCCATAGGTGTCCCAATGCTCCTAGCAATCAAGGTAGCAGACTTCAGGTGTGAATCAAACCTTGTGCACGAGCATCAGGCTGAGAGGGTCGCTGATGCGCTGCTTCTCCACCAGTCCACACAGCGCGCCATAAAAGTGCTCGAGGACAGCCACCTAGCACGGGGGCAACGCAGCTACCGTTTATGTGTTGTACACCACACCGCCGGATGACTCTGAGTCAATTGCACACAGGCAGCTGAACCATGGCGGCCCCCATTGCCAGTGGAGTGCTGGCTAGTAGTTGTTTGCAGCGCACCTCTTCCTTCTTGATGGTTCGCACAGTCGTTGTTGCGCGCTCCTCCACCTTGCGCTGCTGCTGCGTAACCGCCTGATCGGCCCGGATGAACGGCGACTGAGGGGTTGTGCCTGCATATGAGGCAGCAGCACGCACACCAGCTTGGTGAGGACCCGTGTCGCCATCAGGCTGCAGCTGCAGGCGAGCCCAGCCTTGTCATTTGCACATTGACCACCTCGCTGGCCGTGCTCACCTTGAAACCTGTCCCCTCTCCGCAACATACAACATCAAGCACATCACGGGCAGGTTGGCCCGGCCCGCCAGCCGCAATCTCTGCCCACCTGGCACCCAGCCTGGTGTGAGTCGGCCCTCCGCTGCCTCCAGATCTGCCACAAGCCGCTGTGTGAGCTCGGCGGCCAGCTTGGGGCTAGATCGGTACGCTGCGCGTCGCTGGGACCGGTGCCAAAGGTCCTGCTGCAGCGCAGTGCGCCCCGCCTGCCGCACCACGCGGTAACGATTGTGCCATATCGGCACAGGGTTGCTGGAGCCAGGCTCGATTCGCGTCGGCTCTGTCAAGGGCTGAGGTTCTGGCTGTTGATCCAGTGCAGAGTCCCCCGGTGTGGCAACTGCTGCCTCGATCCTGCATCCGCCGCCGCTGGTTGAAGTTTGGGGGACGCTGGCACTGGCGGCGCAGCTCAACGCTGCCACGGTGTGGTCAGGCTGCATGTGGGCCCCTGTCGGCCCCATCCCCTCAGCGCTGAAGCGCCGTGTGCTGCCGCCGCCAGCACCGCCTGATGCACTCTGAGCAGGTGCATGCGTCACCTGGTGCCCGCCGCCCCCGGTGGACACGCTGCCCCTCTGCGTGATGAAAACTGAGCCCTTCACGCTCGCAAATGGCTGGCCGGCATCCGCCGCCATGTCACCTGCGCCGCCACCTGCAAACTGCGCTGCGCAGTTAGCAGCCTCATGGCGCCACAGGAGGTCCCGGCCGGGCTTGGGCTTTGTTGGCAGCTCGCACCGTCCGTACGCGCCCGCAACGTCCGCCGCGTCAGCTGTCGCCGCGGCAGTGTTGAAGAAGGCGTTTGGGCGGGTGCGCGAGGCAAGTCTACGGCTGTCCGCCTGGCGAACAGGGCGGCTCGGAAATGAAGCTTCTGTGCGGTCGAGAGTGGTGTACTGCGGTAGCAAATGTCGTGAGCGGTGGGGTTGAGGCAGCACCTAAAGTGTGAGCGTTGAATGACTAATGTGTGCATACGTGCGCACATGCGCTCGCCTGTGTGTGCGTGTGCACGCATGCGTGTGCGTGTGCGTGTGCGCTTACCCATGGAGGCGCGTGCGTGCGTGCGTGCGTGCGTGCGTGCGTGCGTGTGTGTGTGTGTGTGTCAATGTGTGTGTGAATGTGTGAGTGTGTGCATGCGTGCGCAAATGTGTGTGTGTGTGTGCTTGTGTGTGTGTGTGTGTGTGTGTGTGCATGCGTGCCCGCGTGTGTGCGTACGCGCATGTGTGTGCACGCATGTGTGTGCATGCATGCGTGCACGCGCGTGCGGGAGCGTTTGCACGCGTGCATGCAAGTGTGGCTTTTAAGTCTGCACGTTTACTGGCGCTCCGTTCAAAGCACCGACCTGCATGGTGGTCTTGTGCCGTAGCAGCTTGTTGGCTGTCTGTTGCCGCGCCTGCTGCGCAGCTGCATCGCCCGCCTGCCGGTCTCCTGAAGATTCAGCACCAGCAACACCCCCGACACCCTCTGACCCTGAAGTGTGCGTGGTCGCAGAGTGGCGCAAGGCCCGCCGGAAAATGGAGGGTGCGCCCGGCAGCACGCTGTTGGTCTTCCGCACTGCTGGCCGCCTGCAAATTGTACAGCGCAATTAGAAAAATTTGGTCGACATCGCATTCAAGGCATATGTTTGTTTCATGGTACGGTATATGTTGTCGTCCACCAGCCCTCCGACCTGCCTTCCTGCCCTCCTGCCCCGCGACCAACCCAGCCGTTTGCCCGCCTGAGAGCCCGCATCAACTGCATGGCCTTGTCGCTATCACCTGTGGCGATGCCCTCCAAGCTCGTCAATGTTGAGCTGTGGCAGCTTGTCGCTTGGCTGCGTAGGGTGCCGGGTAAAGTGGGGTGTTGCAGGCGGCTGCACATGCTGCATGACCGCAAACAGCAGGACAGACGTTCCAAAGTGTTGTGATGTCCCTAAAGCTTCACTTTGTCCACCGAACCTGCTGCTGCATGCATCGCTGGAGCTCACAAGCTTGGCGCTTCCAAAACGCCCTGCAGGTCAGCACAATCGCGCACCTCAATGATTGACCCGCATGGCGCGTAGGGCTTGCCGAACTCCGCAAACACCCCTTGTGGCTGCTTGTTGCCCTCAGTTGCGGCCTTCCTTATGACCTGAAATAGACGGCTCAGGGCCGCTGTGATGCATGCAGCGTGCAGAGAGCGGTGTGCATGGCTGGATTCAGGGCACACACATGGAGGGGATGTTTGAAAACGGCAGGTAGGCATGGCTTGTTGCCCGGCCATGGACGGGCGACATTGTGCCCGGTTGCATGTCCATTTCCCGGCTCGCACCCACCAGCGTCCAGGTCGTCGATCACAGGCATTGCGGCGGCCTCTTCGTCATTATGCTGTTGAACACGGTGTGACTCCTGCTGTAGCGCCGCTCGCCGAAACTCGCTGCGAAGAGGGGGTCAGGCATGCAGCACGCGGTTGTGAGGACATCTTACCCACACGCAGGCAGGAGGACATACAGAGCTGTGCTGCTGACGCGGCCCTCACCGGAACAGTGGATTAGTGTGGCGCAAGGCGGCGCACTCTCGCTTCTGCTCCCGCAGCATCGCCCGAATAACGTCTGTGTTCCCCATGGCGCCAGCTTGGTACCACTTGGCCTGCTTCCTGTCGCTGCCTATGTGCACTCCGCCGCAACTTGTGGCAGCAGGGGCAGAGGCAGCGGCAGCTGCAGCAGCAGCGGCAGCAGCAGCAGCAGCAGCAGCAGCAGCAGCAGCAGCAGCAGCAGCAGCAGCTGGTAGGCGGGGTGCTAGATGTATCGTCGTGAACTACGCAGGCTACGTGCGCGAGAGACACGCATATTGATGTTTACAGTATCAGAAAAGCGAAGTGTTCGTGGGGGCCATGCTGCTGTGGCCCGGCATCACATTATAACTACTCATTTGTCAGAGAACAAGTAACGCAGCATGCCGCCCAGAAAAATCTTTGATGTAAAGTAACGAGCGACTCTGCGTGTATTCCGGAGATAGTGTGGCTACGTTGACCCGTTTGCAAATGGCCGCGTACGTGAGACATACCCAAATCTGGAGAGAGATTGACTCACGCTGCCTCACTGGTTGCATGTATCATGTTGATGCGAATTTGCCCAAGTCGAAGTGTTGCACGTTTGCCTGGCTACTGATGACTGCAGCCAGTGGAAACTCAAGAACTGAGCACGCGAGCTCGCCAGGCCGTCAAACATTCTGATTCATCCAGTATCGCATCTAAGTTTGCAAGCAGGAACGAGAGCGCGTTGGCGTGTAGAATCAATCGAGACATACACTGCACACGGCAAACATGGCAAGCAGCGGTGCGCATGTGTGGGGCATCCCTACCCATACCCCGTCCACCGGTACCCTTCTTGTATTCCAAATCACCTGCTTGGTAGGCGGCAGCTTGACCAGGGCAGCACGACGCAGCTTCAGCTCAGGTTTACAGCGCATCAATGAAGGTGCACAACGAATGTGCGGGTGCTGGTGCTCGTGTGGTAGTCCCAGTGGCGGGTCGCTCCAGGAGAAAGGGCGGCAACAGCTCGGCTGCTGCGAAGAATGTGTTGCGGAGGCTAGGCGGAAGTGTGGTGGTGGCGGCAGGGCTCGGTGTCCCAGTGCAAGACTAGTGCGGGGCCGCTGATATGAACAGATCGCTGCCCGGAAATAATCCGTATTACTCATCGAGCTCTGGGGCTGCTCGTTGCTGCCAGCTCTGCACCTTCCCGAGCACGAGATGGGGCTGGCGCACTGAGGAAGGTCCGCTGCCTTGGGGCTGGGGCTATGCAACAGGCAGCGTAGTTGTGAGTTGTCGCGGTGTTATGCAAATGGTAATGGGATGCGTTATTGTCCGTGTTGCTAATTACACAGCAGGCGGCCTCGCACTGACCTGCGGCAACTGGGAAGGAATGGTGACGGCAAGCCCTTTGTCACATTGCTGAAAACCTGCCTTGAGGAGCCAGGGCTTCAATAATGTGTGGAATTATCCTGAAAGTTCTGAGTGGCCTTCATGATATTGTGAGCTACAAGCACCAGCGAAGGTTGCCATGCCCAACTACGTACACCTCCCCCTCCTGCCCCCGCCTCAGCGGGCGCAAGGGCTCAGACCTCAAGTGACCTGCCGTCGAGTGACACCCGTGGCTGCAGCCCGCAAGCAGCCAAACAAGTGTCGCAATATCATTTTGAAACGTGCGCCGGCAGTGGTACGGGCCGTGAAAGGCGCCGGTCTCCCACCTGGCCCGCTGTGTCTGTCATGGCGAGCCACACCCAGAGCGGGCAGTAGCAAAACGCGCGCGCGTGCAATCGTTGGTTCATTCCTGCGCTCGAAGCGTTGACTCAAGCCATTTTTGCAGTTGCAAAGCAGCCACAGCGCTTGCTCTACCCTGGGCTGTTCTCTTTGACTCGCTCCAGGTCCATATCGCTGGCCCCAGCTAGTGATCGCAGGCGTGAAGGATCGCTTGCGAGTCGACCAACAAGAAGGTGCGGTCGAGCTTGCTCAGTTGAGCCCTGCAGGAGTTTCCCGCCGCAGTGGTGTGCGCGGGGTGGACTGCGTTTCTGCCGTCAGACAGGCTCGAAGCCGCGGCGTAGAATACCAGCATATTGATAGACACATGATCGCGTCGGCCGCGGCTGCCAGCTCTTGACCTGGCTCGACCGTGTCAGTCCTGGCGATCAAGGACGGTTTGCGGGAGCCCCGAGCGGGCGCGTGAGGGGCACCCAGCGGGTGCAATACTGAAAATTTCATATCCATTCGATGGCAGTCCTTGCTCACCCGTGGGCGCGCGTTTCGCCGGTCTCGCCACCCCCGGTGCTTCCCATCTGTGCGCACAGGAGCAACGCGCACTGCAGCCATGCAGACCGGCCTCCTGCTGGTCCTGGGGCTGATCGCCCTGGCGGCCCCTTTGGTGCTGGCTGACGGTCAGTGCAGCCAGGTCCCTCACATCGGACGGATTGACCAGTCGCCATCCGATCCCAGCATGTACGGCAAGTGCTCCAGCTCGCTTGAGGGCTTTGTCCAGGGCTCCTCCAACTGGTGCAAGTTCGGCGGCCTTGGCTCGTGGCCCAGCTTTCCCAATGATAAGGCCAAGAAATGCCTCAAGTTTGGCCGTTCAACCATCTACCGGTGCGCACCACAGGGTTCTGCTGGTCTCTGCACTGCAGCCCCGGCGCCATGTCGAGCTGCAGCTCGTGTATTGCTGCTCCTGCTCCTGCTCCTGCTCCTGCTCACCAAACAGCAGATTGCCGCTCACTGGAGCCCTCCGCCCTATATAGGCTTTGGTCAACCCATATTTTTCGCCGATCTCATGTGTCACAGAGGCCCGATCTACGGCTCATCTCCTGGCCACAAGGCTGCCTGCAACAAGTGGCTTCATGGTGACGATAAATATGCAATGGTGGCTGTCTCCACCAAGTACTTGAAGACCTACCAGGGCGGTTGGGCCGGCGACAAAGGCGCGTGCGGCAAGTGCATGTGCATCCGCCTGCACGGTGGCGACGACAAATTCAATGCTGGCCTGCAGAAAGAGTCTGTCAAGCGTCACCTCGGCCTCACCTTCATGGGCAAGGTGCGCCGTTGAGGTCATGCGTGCACACCTGAGTTGTCTTGGCTTGCTGCAGTTGAGATGTCCCGGGACAGCAGGCGGCCGTGATTGGCAGCTGCTGACAGTCTGACACGTGCAAAACCACACGCCCCGCACTTGAGCACACCCTTCCCCTGACGCCCTCCCTCCCTATATCTCCTCTATCTTCCTGCTACCATCAAAGGTTGCTGACCGCTGTGGCGAGTGCGAGGACGACCATATTGACTTGCTGCAGGACCGTCCTCTCACCTTCGCGCCGTTCGACCCTCGGTCTGAGTCCAACAACTACAATGCCCCATACGTCAATGCCAAGGACGGCCTGCGCGGCTTCAGCGACCCCAGCTACATGCGCGGCTCCGCCCTCAGCCTGGAGAATGCGGGTGCCTGGACTGTAGACTGGCAGTGGGTGCCCTGCAGCTGGAGCCACAACAAGTGTGCCAACATGATGCGCAATATGGGTTACGGCAACGTGTGGACTCCCAAGAAGGTTGAGGGCGTGGACAGCTTCAGCATGCGCCCCATCAGCCAGCTGCGCGGCACCAACAACGACCGCCTCTTCAAGGAGCCCTGGTCGTAACAGGCACGCGTCGCTGAAAACACAAACTGAAAAGCGCGGCTGCAGCAGCGGGCGCCCCTGCCGCATTGCGGGGGGCGCCTGCTGGTGGCCAGCTGGATTTTTAAGGAAGGGTGCGTGCTGGTGCGTTTGGGATGCGGGACGCGGCGGCCGCAGTCGGCCAACCGCCACACGCACGCCCCTGCCCGGCCCACTGCTGCCCCACTCTGTGGAGGGCAACCTATCTCTTCTCAGCTTGTTGACGCTGACCGGTCGAAATCATTGTCACATCACGCCCTAGCGGCCGCATCCGGCTGTTTTGCTGGGCACTCCTGTGGTCATGCGGGTGGAAGGGGCTGCAGGCATGTCCAAATCCGTGTGGACGGAGAGACAACGAGTGGCTTTCATGGGCGGACTTCACGAGCCGCCACAGTCCCTGCCCATGGTGTTCTGTTGTGGTGTTTTTAAACGCGTGCCTTGCTGCTTCTCCCCTGCCGCCCTCGGTGTGGGGGCGAGTGAGCGCCACCAGGATCCATCCGGTGATGACAAGGTTTGCAAGGGGCATCAGGGCTTTTCTTCTCCATCCAGTTGCTTTGACTATTACGGAGGCCCTTTTTTTCGACTGTTGGCACAACACGCAGAGCACATCAGGGGGCCCAGCGAGTGGGCTGCGCGCACACCCAACTTGCACCAAGAGTGCAGGCGCTCGCGCACCCAACTCACGTGGGCATGGCATGTGCTTTCCGGGGTTGGTTGTATGCGTGTACTCTTAAGCGAGGCGCGGGCCCTGAGCCTGGTCTTGTTGTTCGCAACTCCGGGTTGGGTGCATCCGCCAACTGAAGGGGAGACAAGGGGTATCCACATACCGGCGCGGGCCAGGGGGGCGTGAGGTGCACGGTAAGGTCTGGGGCTGGCTAACGCCCACCCTTGACCCGCGCCCCTACAGCGCGCCCACCCTCCCTTGGCCCTCCCTGGTATCGAAGGCGGCTCCGAAAAGAGCTGGCCCCGGCGCGTCGCACAGGCGGCAAGCCTGCAGCGCATGCAGCCCATCAGCACTGCATACTGCTGCATCACCGGGTGCTGAGGCGGCCTGCATGTCAGTGCCTTTGGCGGGCGAATTCCAAGGTTTTAAACTCTATTGTTGAGCATCAGAGTACTTGGTTTGAGCAACTTTGGGCCATGATATGTTCCCGCGTTGGTTCTGTTGACTCGCCAATTCCCCTCCTGCCCGCCACCAAAAGACTAATGAAGAAAATACCAACTCCGCGCGACCCCTGGGCTCTCACACCTTTGCCACACACTAGCCCACACCGCACATACCTCTTCAAGGTTGGGGTTGGGAAGAGAGCCTGACGAGTCCCTGATCCCAAAGCTGCGTTTTGCATTCGGGTTTTCATGCCATGCAAGCGCAATGCTTGGGTTCACACAGCCGGCCTTTGACAACGCGCAACGCACCACTTCCTGTGCTGCGAGCTCCACCTGTCCCGCGCGCCGCTCCACGGCGCCTATCCCTGGGATCATGGCCTGCTGCAGCCTCCGAGCGCACGGGCCTTGGGCACGGGCTCTGCATTCCATCAGCGGGTCGATTCCAAATCCAGCACGCCACTGATGTGCCTACTGTTGGCACCGCACAACACCCACGGCATGCAGCTAACCTGTCAGGCGATTGCAGTGCTGCGGCATGAAGTCGCCTGTTCCAGGGACCGGGCCCCACATGTGCTTGTCTGCCATGCAAGGTGTGTTGTGTTAGCTTGACTGACTGTTTCATTCAACAGCACTTGCTTTGCAGGCCGTCCGCACGGTCTGGGCACCTTTCCCACATTGTGATTCCTGCCTTGACCATGTGCGCCGACCGGGCAGATGTTGTAGTGTGGCGATGTGCGCATGCATCATCTCACATGGATTGGCTTCACTGCGATAGGAGCTTTTAGGAGTATCACCACGCTGTCATGATGGTAAAATTCCTGTAACTTCCCAGGCCATGCTGTCGTCACTCCCAACATACCACACGTGCTGTTTGTTGCGTGGGCGAATAGGCTTAACAGACGACGCACAGCGGGATGGGGAGCACTGGGAGTAGGACTAGCACTGATAACCTAGGGCGGGATTTCCCATAAAACACGGGCTCAACCACCAGCAACATCATGTACTTGCTCTTGCCACAATGCGCTACTGGCCCACTCCCACGCCCTGCTCCTGACTGCTGCCAACCTCCTCGCCCGCCACCAGCCCGCGCCGCTCCGTTGCAACCGCACTCTTGCCGCCGCCGCTGCTGCCCCTGCCGCCGCGGCGCTTGTTGCCGGCTCCAAAGTACTTTCGCATCTCATACGCATCCTCCCCGTTGGCATAGTACTTTGACTCAACGTCCTGCACGCTGCCGCATTGTACACGAGTTGCATTGAGGGGGGTGACTATCAATATGTGGTGTCAAGTAAGGCGCCAAGGCTGGGGCGAGCGGCGCAGGTCACATGACCAGGTGGGCACACGGCCATTGTTGTGCCAAGAACCCAAGGTTGCAAAGCGATAATCCAAGCCCCAACCTACTTGTAGCCAAGAGTGGTGGTGTACAGGTGAATTGCGCCGCGGTTTGAGACACGCACATGCAGCGACACGTACTCTGCACCAAAAACCTCTTCCATAGCCCGGTCTGTGGCGGGAAATTTGGTGGTGGTGTATGCTCAAAGGCAGAGTTGCAGTGCATGGCTGGAGCTCTGGTTTTGGGCGATTGCAGGGGTGTTGGGAAAGGGCAGGGGTACACAGGAATCGCGCTGGGTGGGTGGCTGGAGATTGGCCCCCACCGTGCCTCAAGCTGCGCCCTACTAAGCGACTGCGAAGGACTGCAGCTGCGCATCAGGCCCCTGGATGTTGAAACTGCACGGACGCCGACCCCGCCCCTGAGCCCTCGCCCGCACGTTTCCCTGCCCGCTGGAGGCAGCTCACGCGTTGCAGTCATCAGTTTGGACGCTATGCCCTGCTTGCGGTGCGACCGCGCCACCGCCAGCGACGTGATGTGCCCGTGCATGCCATCGGTGGGCTCCTCCTCCCTGAAATTGATGGCAGGCAACTGTCATCACAGAAAAGTCGTGAGCAAAATCGCCGCAGCAGCACAGCCTCCGTGCTGCCAATGTGGGAACCAACCACGCTGCACAATACTGCAGCTAACATGGCAGTCCTTGTCTGAAGCTCGGTGGCCGTTGGAAGGAGAGGAGGGGGGGCGCTGGAAGGGGGGGCCAACTCCAATGCCATCGCCTCTCGCAATCCCCCACCCAACCCACCATCTGGCCCCAACCCAAGCCTTACGCCTCACATCTTAGCGAGCACGTAGCCTACAATGGTCCCGTCGTAGTCCTCCGCCACATGCAGCAATTGGGGCCACGACAGGATGTGGTAAAAGTAGTACTGAGGCGGGGGGAACGGGGCGTACAAGGAAGGAGTTGAGGGGGAGAACAGGGTCGACGGCGCATCGCGAGGGTGTCAAGCGCCGGAGGAGCATGGTGAGGGGTGCATCCATTAATACGGGGCCGCCGCCTACGCTTGCATGCAGTCTAGGGCCAGCCCTGCTTGAAGAGACATGGGACGCCAATACAAGCAAGTGCTGCAGCATCACGCCACGAGCAGCATGCCTAGCCATGCCAAGCCTGGCTGTGGCGACCCGCTTTGGCTGTTGTCATGGCGCGTACCTTGAGTTGATAATTCTCCGGCAGGCTGCGAATAGCAATGCCAGGCATAGGGGTCAGCAGTTGCCATACAGCAACAGCGTGCAGCGAACCAGCACAAGGGTCTGGGTGGCGCGTACGTGCCGGAACGCTGTGCTCACCACAGCAGGTTGCACCGCTGCATCTGCATGAGATCATCCAGCGTGGCTGGACGAATGCAAACCATAGCCACTGCCTGCTATGTGCGCAGCTGATGCGCACGCGATCTCGCCGGCACCGAGCTGGTGACGCTGGGAGTTTCTGGGTGTTTGAAGTTGCTACGGCGCATCTGTTGATTGGAAACTGCACGCGCCATCTGCATCCCGCGGATGTCACCAGCTGCAGGAGTGCAGTCGGTGTGGGGATGCAGGGCATGCTCCTCCATGTCGCGGCGACTACAGTACGGTACGTGCACGACTACATATATGATGCAAATGTGCTCATTGGCATCACACAGCAATTGCGTTTCATACGTGGAGCCCGATCTACATACAGCCTGACTGAGATCACGGCGCAAATCCCGCTTGCCCATCGTATCAAGGTACAAGCAGAAACCATAGACATCTATTCCCCCTACCAGTGCTTCATCAGACCTAGCTTTAGGGTTGGAAAGGCAGGCGGAGCGCACTCACTGCGGGTACACAGACTGCTTGTGCAGCTGAGCTAGAGTGTATCCGAGGCGCAGGAATGGCAGAGCCCCTCAAGGCACGCATCGACTTCAGTTTAACAGAGCCCCCCAAGGACCCCGGAATTCTGGACGAGGAGCGCAAGAAGCATCAGCAGAGGTGCGAGAGGACCGCTGTGCTTTTGGTGCATTTGCTGTCAGGCTCGTACAGTATGCTGCATGACGCCAGCGCTATGGCATTGCAGGTGGCTGGTGCTTACGTTGGTACCCATACACACGGTGATCGAGTTAACAGCAGTGCGGCAGGCATGGCTCTTTCTCACCAGACCTCACCCCCACGGACCAACACATGGCCCACCTCCCAAGCCCCACC